CATAAGCCCGATATTAGAGAATACAATGAATACTGTATGTAGCGTTGAATGGAGAATGTAAGTCCCGATTACACACCTGGGAAAATATTCGTTTGCTGTAATTAACTCTGCAATTAACTTTGAAATAACACTGTTATAGTCTTGAAATTCCGGTAGAAAGCAGTAAGGCTCGTCGTAATACTGGCATAAATACAATTGTTGATAAGGTTTTAGAAGCAAAGTGCGCGGATGGACTTGCCCGTCTCTGGCAGAGCCATGAGGAAGTGTTCTTGTATGAACAGACCGGATCACCAAATTTCGACGATATTACTCAATTTCATATTCACGATTATAAATTGATCAGAACAATGCGAGATGTGTTGAACCAGCGAATAATCTTTCGCCTTAAAAATGGAATATGTGATCACAAAGACCTCGCATGCTTCAGTGCTTTTGGTAACCGTTTTGAAGTATCGTTATTTTGGTTGACAATACACCAGAAGTCGTATTGTCTCCGAGAATATGGAACTTTCAATATCCCGTCAACTTGGCAAGAGCTTCCCGTGCTATCCGAAGCAATTATAACATGTCTCAAATTTTTTGTAAGTGCATCAAAGTTTTATTTACTTTATTAATTGCTCTTTACTAATACTGATCTATTCTCAGTCCTTTATGAAAGAAAATATTGAAGTAAGAAATTCGTATGTTGGACAAAACCAAAAATTGTTAGCAAAGCGAAGAGTACACTCAGTAAAGCAAAACCAGTCATCACCGAGTCGACCTAATAAGCGGAAGTCAAAAAAATAAATATAAATAATTTTTATCTTATCAATACGTAATTATAGCTTGCAATGCACAATTTTACTTTAGATCTTGTAACAGTCTGTCGTCATATATAATAAGAAAGATACGTAATGAGTTTAAAATTTACAATATTAAGTAAATACTATGTATAACTTTAAAAAAACAATAAAGGTATTGCTTTATATATTTTCTGTATGTATGCCTGTTAATGTAAGGCGACTGTGATACGAATGGACTACTACGCTATATTTCCATATACCGGTATAAATACGTATATACTTCGTAAGCGAACGTTTCACAGCATATAGATCCATAATTCTTGTTCTCGTGTTACAAATTTTGAAACGTGATTTTTTATGTTTCGGGCCTATTGATCCAATTTTAAGGGTATGTCCCAACCTAATCTAATTGCGAGAGGATCATCAGTTGCCTTGGTAAAATCGAAGACCACAAAATTTCGATCTCGCAAATGTTTGTCGATTATCTTGGATGCTTTTTTTGGATCATCCGTATATTGACGTACAATTATGCATATATCTTCACGGCTCCCTGAGCCTCGAAATAAAGCTAAGGATGAAATATTCTCACGAATAATTTTAGGAGTTTGTGTATATTTCTGGCTCACATATATGCTTGATACACCTTGATGTCGGCCACTAATAAAATATGGAACAATCCGATCCTGAATTTTCTTTGATTCAGCACAAAG